AAGATAACCCCCGGCGGACCTACGTCGGCTACCTGAAGGAGGCCCGATAAAATCTGACCGAGGTGGCGGAGTCGCGAAGGCGCGCATCCACGCCCCGCTCGGTCGCGCATCTGCCTTTTAAAAACGGGGCGACGGTAGGGTGGAGGGACACACCGCGTCAATCCGGGATTCCGAATTCCCCGTCGCCCATGATACAGATATTGCAGGCACGTAGCGCACGGGACGTGTCTTATGTACACCTCGACGCCATTTTGGCGGGTCGAGGCGAAGTAACTTTCGGGATGTAAGTACACGACTCGCCGGGGATGAAATCCGCAAAGAACGATTCCACAAGAATGGTGAAACGTCGCTCTAAAAAATATTCTTCAAAAAGGGAGGAATAGGAAAAGAAAAAAAATTAAAACTAGCAGAAACCCACATATACCCACATATTCTACACTATGTTTGGATGCGATTTATATGCAAGAAAATTAAATTTCGATTTTTTTAACCAATCACACGGGATGACCCCCCATAAGGCGTTTTCGGTTCGCGTTTTGGTTCTCGGGAACGTGCGTTTCTCCGAGCGCGGTCTTGCGCCGATGGGCGCCATTTCGTTGGCAAGGGTAACACCCCGGCGCGAGGTGTGCAGCCACCCCTGGCTCGTCGGGGGGGTGCGAGGGGCGCAGGGGAGGAAAAAAATCGAGAATTTCCCAGCTGTTCCGCTATCGGCGCTCGGGATCAAAGATGGCGACCGGCCGCGGGGTTTCAACCCTTGCTATCTGCCCCATCGGCGCGCGGTCTCTCGCACGCGCACACGCACTCTGCCGTGTGCCCGACATTATCGTGCGGCTCTAGTCTATGTACCCTCCCGTGCACGTATACACGCTCACCCGCGCGGATACGTATATATTATATACCCACGAGGTCACGTATAGGAGCGTATACCTGGTGGCAGCTTTGTTTCCGAGATCGTATCGAGTCTCTTTTTAGGGCGACACATCTGTGGACGGGCGTTCGGCTCCCATGGTTGGTAAAAATGCAACATATTGTGCCAAAGGCATATGGCTACCCGGGCATCCCTTTGTCCGGGGCGCGCCAATGGGCCGCTGCTCCGGCGCCATTGGCCGCGTCCGAATTTTTGCCGCGCCCCGCTTCTCGGTCTTGCCGCCGGATGGCGCTAGGGAGGCGCCTCGCATCTACGAGTGCACGTATGTATAGAGAGAGAGAGGGAGAGAGAGAGAGTATCGAGCGAAAATGACACACCTACACCGTCGTTCCTCCAGATAACCGGCAATTCCCCGTATCAACGGAACCTTCCAAAGAGAAGACCCTGGCGTTAAAATCTCTTACATTCGTCCACTCTGAATATGAAGACGCGGTAAATAAATCCGAAAACGCGAGCATAACCTAAAACCGAGGTCACAGCGACCTCGGTTATAATTACGTAGATGGATTAAAAAGCTGGAGTATCGATCGCCCCGGGAAATATCGAAAATCCGGAACATCGATAAGTTCATCCGCCGGTGAGAAATCACTTTCGGGGCCCCTTAACAAAAAAGACAATAGAACCCAATCCGAGTTCGTCGAGCGAGTGGAAAGCATTTTAACGGGCTAGCGAACGAACCGGGGTAAGTAAAATAGAAAAGCGGGACACGTAATGAACGGTTCGAGAGGGATGACCCGCTCTCGATCGAATCATTCGGATTTTTAATCGATCACTAGCGCACGCACGCACACGTATCGCCTCGCGGTGGAAGAGGAGGGAAGAAGGAGCTCTCGTACACCGGCATAAATAATCCACACAATGGCATCCCTCGGCGCGAGGGTGGTACGAAAATTATAGTCCCCGTGCGCGTTACATCCACCTACTATGTGCCACCTACCACTTTTAAAGCGATACATATTTTATTAGCCGCCCTCGGAAGGAGCGCTGCCGGCTCGTAAGTGCGTACGCGAGTATGCCCGCAATGCCGTCCCGTCCAGTGGTTCTCCGAGCGCTCGCCTGCGCGCATGCGCCGGTGCGCACCTCCAGGGAAAATGGACGCGGCCGAGCCTCTCGATCGTTTTACGGCCCGAGAGTAAATGTCGCTTCTCGACTAATAAATTTCTACCCCGACGCGCCAACACAAACGCTCGCCTGCCGCGGAGGCACTCGGGCCTTTATTCAATTAGAAAAAGACTGCCATTATACATCTTCGAATTGTTTATCTTATTGCTCTCTTATTGCTCTCTTATTGCTCTCTTATTTCTCTCGGGGCACGGTTCGAACGTGGAGACGAAGTAGCATCAACCGCTCGAGTAGGACATCATTTTAGTTAACACTAGGTTTACGGGACCCGTCAATTTGCCGGAATTCAAACTTCAAAAAGAAATACCGAAAAAACCATAGCATTAATTTTAACCATTTTTGTGTCGTAAATTGAACATTTCATCCAAAGAATTTGTGCACACAATTATTTTTTCCTAAGCCTTCTAATTATTAAAATCTGTATGTAGTATACCTATCTCTACGAAACCCGTCAAATTGACGGACTAGCTAATTTCATAAACGATCCATATATATTTGCTTCGTTGCAGTGAGTGTAAGGCGAAGATGAGAGTGAAAGTTTGCATCGAAAGTGGAGAAACAGAAGGATCTTCGGATAGCGAAGAGGAAAACTTCTTGAAAGGGTGTCGTAGCAAGAAAAGGATGCGCATTCTTTCTAGTCCTGACTCCGAGGATGAGAGGACGAGCATTCCAATCATTTCCGTGATAATTTTTAAAAAAGGACTTTTTACTTATTAATAATTTATTTAAACGTAAAGCCTAGGGTTGTTTAATACAGCCTTAATTGGAATAAATCGATTTTTTAAAGAAAATGCGTGTTTTCGTTTACCCGTCAATTTGACGGGTGCTCGTAGAAACAGGTATATAAAAAACGCCCGTAAACCTAGTGTTAAGCAAGTCGGTCTAGATAAACCGAGATTACCGGGAAATTTCATAAAGGGATGTGAAAGTGGCATTCGAAAACTCAATCGTTCATAAAACTTTTCTACTAACTAGGTGTCTCAAACCGTTTCATACTTTAAAACGTGAATATCGAGACCCTAAGTTAGGTCCTTAAACTCGGGAGATTTCATTTTTTATAAACTACCTTTTAAAATACCTATAAAGAACTTTGAAAGGAATTGAAATTTCATGAGGTTTCAGGACCTTCCTCATAATCTCCCTATTCACGTTGTAAAGTTTCTAACTATTCGGTAAACCGAGCTGGGGGGAAATGTTTTATAAACGAAACCTCTTCGATGTCACTTTCACATCACCTTAACCACTCGGAGAAAAGTATTCGGCTAAGTCAATGAAATTATTCTAGGGTCAACCATAGAATATGGTCATTACATGGACAAGCAATAAAATCGTTGACATGACTAAATTCTTTGGTTAATAACCTATGACCGATCGCACATAATGTTATGCCTCATCGCGTGCAGAACTTTCAAACGATCCGATTAACGCAGTTCTGAGAACGGTTATTATAAATATTTTCGACGTTTCATGCATATAGAATGACCCTTTTATATCCACCTTATGAAATCCACGATAGTCACGGTTGACGCGATCGTAAGGATATCTCAAGTAACTGACCGCGGAAACGTTGCGTTAATTTCGTCGGGAACGGGGAAAATTCTCGTCATGGTCCGAGCGTGCAATTAGTGTCCGATTAAATTGCGTCGCGAGGTTACGAGGGTGGATAGAGGGCGTACGGTAAATCGAAGGCTGTTTCGACCGGCGATTCGTTAATAAGTAACGACGGTTTACACGGCGTTACTCCTACGTGAGAACAACGTCGGCTCGGCGGCGGAAAGCCGGGGTATACGAAGGGTTAACCTGTACGCGGTACACGTGTTTACGGTAGCGCGACCGACACGTGTCTGGCGCGCATAGTGGTGCGCGGTTCCTAATAAACAGAGGGGGCGCGAGAGAGAGGGACCGAGCGGCGGCCGGCGGGAGGGAGGGAGGAGGACGGTGTAGAATTTCCGCGGCGGTATTTCGGCCCCGATATCCCAGGGACGCGGAATAGGGAATCAAGCGGGAAATCGAGTTCGCGCGATCGCAACGACCAACTCGCACGAAACCCCTCGGCCGATTCGCGAGACTATCGATCGGGGTTTTTCGATATGCCCCCTTCGATTCCCGATTAGAGCTCGCGAGCGAAATCGGAGCTCCTCGATAAGCCGGAATATTGCATCGAATTGGCTCGGAAACCTCGACTTCGGGACAAAATACCGCCGATATATCTCGGCTACGATAATAGACGCCTAATCGATGCACCCTCGATTTGTCTCGACCCAGAAGACTCGACATGCACGTCGTGAGCGGTGCTAGAGAATACTATCACGTAAAATCTCCTTTTACTCGAACATTAACATAAACATACCGTATAGTCAAGAGTACCTTAAGGACAATTTTCTGCCACTGTACATCGAGTTCATGTCAAGGAGTAACGATCGGTCATCTTTATGAGACCAACTTGCAAATTGAAACTGCACTGTTTCCACGTTGGAGAATTTCGCTCGAATATACGTCTCGATGTTATGCCTTAAATAATTAATGCTAACTATTGTAACTGCAGCGTCTCGATTTTTGAGCCCCCAAAGTGGAATGAAAGTGACGTCAAAGAGACCGATGAAACTTATCTCCAAGCCGGGTGTACCGAATCGTTTCAAACTTTTCAACGCAAATATGAAGACTGTAAGGAAGATCTTGACACGCATGAAACTTCGATGATTTTTTTTTTTTTAATCTGTCTACAGACATTTTTAAAACTTAAATTTCATGAGTGCTCTAGGCCTTCCTTAGGGACTCTACATTCACGTGGTAAAGTGTGACACGATTCGGAACATCCAACTCGAAGAAACATTTCATGAATGACTGACCGTACATTCGCCACTTCCATGTCACCTTAATCATTCAATGTTGAATTTCAAGGTATGTAATGTGCAGCCTCTTAGAATATAGTCAAAGCTTAGGTACTCACCAGGCGTCGTTTCGGCTTGATGAGGGGTCGATTCTGGCCGTTCATCTTGTAATAGAGTCCGCAAGCGTTGCAGAGATAATGTCCGGTGCCATCTCGTCGCCAAAGGGGTGTCGAGGTTGCTCCGCAATTGACGCACTCGCGACCCTCTGTGATGGGCGATCCACCCCGAAGGAAAAGTTACAATCAGTGGACATTCAATTTCGCTCCGTCTCTAAACTAAGCGTTTCCTCCCCTCGCGAACGATCCATCACCCCACCCTCTTGAAAAAAAAAAAGGGGACCAAAAATGCTGCAAGTTTCCACCTCTTCCCTTGGACAGCAAAGTTCATCTATATGAACCCACGTTCGCGTAATAGATTTCCGGGGAAACTTTCGGAAATGCCGGCTTTCTCTTCGTCGGAAGAAAGGAAAGCCGAAGTTCGAAATTCCAGGCTGCGATTTTGGATCGGCCACCAGCCGAGGAAACGCATTATTAACATTTAAGTGTTACTGTACGAGAAGCAACGAGACGGCCGAGAGAATAGCCGAGGTTTCGATGTACTTAGCCGAAATCCCGGGTATTCTTTCCCGGCCGCTTGTGAAAGGGGTTACACTCACAGGGTGACGTGTCACGTGCATGCGGACATACCATTAAGCGATTACCAGAGCAAAAGCAGAATTTCGTAGGACCACAGCCGTTCCAAGGAGGGATACGGAGTTTCAGACCCGATTCCTGGGATGATTGGGCGCGAACGGGGATAGAGAAGGATAAGATTAGGATCGCATCGCACGAATCGTGACGGCACACTCTCGGAAATAATTTCCCCGAGTAAACCGGGGATTCCACGTCGGATCGCTCCGATTGATATCGAAAGAATCCCCGTTATCGCCGATCGGCGGAATAATCGAACGGTTGACAAAACTCGGACTCCGCCCGAAATTTCTCGATTCGGTGATATGGAAACATCGAACCGTCCGATTTTTAAGTTACCATCAAATTTTCACAAGACGAGTTATCAAATAATTGCGTACTTAAGAATTCTTTAAGAATCTTCGATTCGACGATAATTAATTTCAATTAGTAACGTACTAATATTGAACTGTACAATTTTTAAGTTCGTCAGATTACATTTTCACGGAGACAAGTGATCGCACTTGAGAATTCTTTGACAATGCCGCGGTGCACATTGAACCAGTAAATTTTTCAGTTACTTCGATATTCTCGCGATTTTTAAGTTACCATCAAATTTTCACAAGACGAGTTATCAAATAATTGCGTACTTAAGAATTCTTTAAGAATCTTCGATTCGACGATAATTAATTTCAATTAGTAACGTACTAATATTGAACTGTACAATTTTTAAGTTGTCATATTACATTTTCACGGAGACAAGTGATAATGACAATGCCGCGGTGCACATTGAACCAGACAATTTTTCAGTTACTTCGAAATTCCCGCGAAGCGAGTAATTGAGACTTGAGAATTCTTGAAAAATGAATTTTCCACTTTCGTCGCAGGAGTGTAAGAGCGCACGGGTCACGATTACGCGGACGTTCACCAATGACTACCACCAAAAAGAAGGGACCTGTCGATCAGTGGATCACGAGGAGCCGTTTCCTCCCCATTAGACATGCGTAATGCCGAGATCGTAATGCGTCGCCAATCGATCGTCTCGTTGGTCTCCGCATCAGCGACTTAGAGACCCGTCCTGCACACGGTTCCCAGATCGTCATCCGATGATTGCTCCTGTGGTATAAATCTCTATACTCAACAAAGAGTAAAAGTAGTCTCAACGGCACCTGATCGTCCTCCTACCTAAATTACACCTTTAATATAAATATCAGGTGTGCCCAAGAGTGCCTTTACCTTCCCTACCCCTCAATACTCCCAAAATGATATCACGTCCTCAATTAGAATCGTACCTCAGGATATCCGAAAACAAATACATTCCCATAAGAAAGTGTGGTGCGTGGGGATAATTAAATTGCAATGATGCGCGATTCGACGTAAGATTATTGCCGTCGTTCAAAAATGATTCTGGTTCCTAGGGTCCGATTGGTATGGGCGCGGCCCCCTTTCCCCTCGTGATAAGAACCGACGTTCGATTACTCGCCTTCACGGCCCCCGAAATGGTTAGGCCTCTCGAACGCGGACGCAAAAAGCGATATCGATTCGACGATTGCTATAATTGAGCACCTGCGCGAACGAGCGCTTACAAGATGGGCGGACAGCTCGACGCGCGGACGGACGGACGGGCGGACCATCTCCGAGGAACGCGGCAACGGGGGCCGATTAATGCATCGTGGCCACGTGTGGACGCGCCTCGCCGAAGGGGGAAAAAAAAAGAAAAAATACCAGACAAAAAGTTCCACTTAGAGCGACCATTAGATTATCCCCCGATTCGAGCGACGCCTCCCCCTTTACCGAATCTCGCGATCCCTGGCACGCACCTAACCTCAAAAGGAGACAAAAGTCCGTCCCATTAAATCTATGACTTTAATCTGCCTTATTAAATCACTGTTTACTGGAAGATTCTATAAAATGCGAGATAAAAAAAAATATATCGACTTAAGTGCAGTCTTACCGCTATACTGCATACATTAACGTGTGCAATCACCAAAAATCATCCATATATAAAATCCCATAAAATCCGCAGAGTATCCATGATACATCATCGCGTGGTTCTACCTAAAAATGCATACCGATAAATGCAGCATAGCGGTAGAGCGATGCTTTGGTCGAATTTTCATGACATTTTCGACATTTTTTTCCTTTCTCGCGATATCCAAGAAACAGAGTATTGACACGTTAATACTTTCGTTACGAGTGATGAAAGGGTGTGGAGAGAAGAGTATAAAATGAAAAGAACGCTCTAAGGTTAAAACCGACTCCTCTAATAGTCGGTATGAAATGGAGATGGATCTCGTTAAGACTCGCCGTTTCGCCGACAGAGATTGCAGCATCTCCCAGGGTAATTAGGCCGCCTGCACCTGCGCCGTGCGAAAATTGGCCAACCTCGGGGGGTTGCGCAGCTCGCCTCTCGTAGACGAGGCGCGTCCCAGATTTCCCGTTTCCTCGGGTTTTCGTGGCTCCTCCTCGACCTACGGGGACGCGTCCGCGTGCATATCCGCGGGACGAGCCCATTTAATTTTAATTAGCCTCGACTAGAGGAGCGCCGTGCGAAACCGCGCGCGGCCATTGTGTCAGGGACCCGCGAGCGGTTGCGGCAATCCCCGCATCCGGCTCGTTACTTGGATTTGACATTTTTCCGTTTTTCCACCCGACCATTGTTGGGGAGTCGACCGACTCACGCGAGGCCCCCGCGAGGTGCCAATTTCGCGGGGCCCGACACGCGACGTCGTTCCGTGCGAACGCCGAGGACAAGGCCCCCCCCACCCGTGGGGGTAATTGCCCCCGAGAGAGGGGGCTCTGCGTGTCCGCTCTCTTATTGGCTGCCAGTCACCTTTTCCGGAAAGCGCAAAAAAAAAAAAATCACCACTCCGGATGCCTCGTCGAGAATAAACGATCGTTGACGTCTTGCATTCCATTTTTCATTGGGGAATTAAATCACATTTGGTATCTCGTCGAGATCATCTCTCTCGGGATAAAAGTGACATCTAACTCATGGACGGTTCTCTAACCTGCTAGGATTTATCGACATATTAAGAAATACTGTTGGCATCCTTTTTTTTTTTTTTTTTTGAAAATTGAATCACATTTGCTTGAGATGATCTCGTGGAAAGCATGAAAACTGCCTCGTGAGGGATTTTCTATCCTACTGCAACTTGTCGACGTATTAGAAAAAAGAAAAAAAAAACAACAAAAACGTTGCAAACGAAGGGACTCACTGGCATGAAATAGTGATTCGAATACTACTGATGAATCTTGTAGAAATTAATTTTTCTTCGCAATCTTGTTAAAATTTAGGAATTCTAATTTCTCATGTTTTCCATTACGTTAGGTGCATCTCGTTGCAGTGTTCTGTACGGACGGTGCAACGGCGAGTACGAAGCAACTTGCGTAAATACACATAACGTTCGTGTAACATGATCGCACATTGAGCCACGCTAGGCTCTTAATAACTGGAGTAATAATAACCAACTCCAACGGAAGATGGCGTCGCTTTGGCCAGACCCCGTTATAAAGAGACCATAAGGGAGCAGTTATCATACCATCTGCGATTTAATCTCCGAACCATTTGGACGTGATTCTCGTTGTTATGTAGCCATTCCGCCGATTGTTTCAACGTTGACGTCCACCGTGTTAGTAGCACGTTTCTATGCCTTAAAACCCAGCAGGCGTTCGATTCCAGTCAACAAAGGACCTCATACCGACCTGGCATAATTCCCGGACACTCGATTATTCTTACACAAAGTATCGACGCACCTCGCGACTTACAAAAAAAAATCAAAAAACTCTCATGAATTTTAACGTCTATGAAAATTACTGTCATTCACTCGTTACCGATCTCTGTGAAAGAATTGGCCATTACCCATGAACAGCTGATATCTTAGCGGTCGGAGGAAAAATGTCAATGCCCTTAGATAAATCGAGTCGGCGATGACTGGTGCCAATATAAATCATCAATGACGTATTTGTTAGGGAGAGAAAAAAAAAACAATGTTCAGTGTCCCGTGATGGTATCAGATCTTAGTCGGCACCGATCGCGCGGCAAAAAAGGAAAAAATCAGGAGAGAAGAAAATATCCTTGATGAATAAGTTACGTCGCCGAGGGTCAACGAAAATGTAATGTTGCTTGTGAGAGAACTGTAGCCACACCACATCGACAGAAATCGTGCTCTCATGGTGTCTCGTGTGTCCCTCTGCGAGGGGGTGCGCGCGCCCTCGAGTCTCGTGGGTGCCACTCAAACAAACGTCAGTGAGGCAAAATACAAAGTTCGGGTGTCCTTCCGCAACAATCGATCCACAATAACAGAACGGAACTCAGGGTAACCAAACCGAGGATAATAATATATATGTGAATTACGTATTGTTACTTGTAAGCGTTAGTTGACCGCCACCGAAAGCTCGCGGGGGTGTAACCAAGGAGAACGGAAATCGTAAGGAATCAGCTGTCGTTCTGCCAAAACATTTATGTTGAGTAATATAATCGATGTATTAAGCATTTTATGTCATCGTAAGTATTGATAAATTCTAAAATCTGGCGCAAGAAAATATTTTACGTCATTTCATGGCGCGAGAGAATATAGTAGATGGAGAAATTAAGCGTTTCTGTGTCCTGGTGTGATTAATATTGTTATTTTATTTTTATTTTTTTTTTTTGTTGTTATTGTAAAGGAGAGTGCAAGTTGAACCACAAGAGGATAGATTTGGCAGAACGCATGCTTTCAACTAATAGTAAAATGAAGAAAAACCAGAGTCCCAGACCGGTGCACCAGGTATCCCCCTTGGTACTGGCTGTACCAAGAGAACGTCCAGCCCATAAAAAACCAAGAAAAGTAAGCGTACAAACAAAAGCGTGAATCAACCAAGGGAATAACCAGGGTATGAAAATACGATCGATTTAAGGACATCAAATCATCACTTTTCAAATACAGTTCCAAATTCACTTATCTTCGCGCCTCTGTATTGAACGTAAGTATTGTGGAAAATTATGGAGGTTAAAAGAAAAAAATCTAATGCGTCCAAACGCGTACGAGTAATTCTCTTCAACATCTAGTTTTTATCAAACTAAGTACTCTTTACCATTTCCCCCTCGTTTACAAGACTGAGAATTTTCAAGAATACAAATTTCTACACCGACCCTCACGTTACATGTCACGTCCCCTGTTACTCAATTTTTATTTATAGACGATTTAATGACTTGAATGCTTAAATAAATCTCCTTCGACATACCCTGGAAGAAACAAAACCATACCAAGGAAACTCCCGAAAACAAAGGAAACCAAAGAAGAAAAGAAAACCGTAAGATCGGGGGAAATCGAAGGACGAGGCAGGCTCCCGAAATCGTGCAGCAATTATCGAGAACCTGCAAGGAGCAGATAAACCGACGATTCCCCGAGTCTCGTCCGAGTTATCGAGCATGTCTCCACAACAATTCCGATACTCGACGTCAACCGAGTGGAGAACACTTTCGGGTCCTCGACGCCCTTGCAGTTCTCGATCCCTGCCACCCTATCGACAAGGAAAGATCAGGTACAATCGTAACGTGGTTCAATTACAAGAGTGTGCCCCCAATGGGTACAGCTGCGACAACAATCGACTCCCCTTGAACAATATTTCCGACATCCCCGTAACGAAGTTAACCGCAGTTAAGAGACCAATTACAGATGCCAAAGTCGCACCCACGTCCCGAGATTCTCATCGTCGAAGCATTCCCAAACCTGATAACCTCCTCAACCGTTACGATCGTCCCCGATCATACCTCCCCATCCCTGACTCCACCTCTCAAACCGAAAATCCGTAGAACCCGAGAACCAAGAGGTAACCAAAGATCCCAGAGTAGGATATTAACCGTTTGAGTCCTAAGGGGTATTGAAAAAACACTGTCGAAGAATCCCGAACAGCGCAACCGCGCTTTCTCTAAATGAGTACGAGAAGACCCAAACAGCGCGATAGCGCTTTGTTTATTTTATGTCGATGAATCCCACTCGGCGCGATAGCGTTTCTTGAATTGTAAGATGTATTATTTAGACCCTTGCGTTACGATTTAAATTCCAATAGCGCGTGCCATAAACAACAAAAGTGTCGGTCATACATCGGCCCATTTCACGGTTTGGCTGAACGTAACTTCTCATACGGTTTGTTTACATTTGGCCCGATTGACATACACCACGTCTCTCACACGTTTTGTTCACGTTTGGCCCGATTGATTTACCACGTCTCTCACACGATATTGTAAGTTAAGAAGTTAAAAGAAGGAGCTGTGTAATGTACTTGGGTCAGTGAATCTGAGCGACTTTGACAATCGGTGACGCACCGTCAGTTGTCCACAACGCTCGAAATGTGCTGGGTTTTCTCGACATAAAATCTGAACAGCGCAATCGCGCTGCCTAGGACTCAAACGGTTAAAAGAAAATAAACGTAAAAATGAACGCATAAGTTTGCGATATCGCAGCCGCTTACCGGCGGACGTTTTGGACTTGTTCCTGGGCTTTTGCTGCTGCTGCTGCTGGGAGCCGGGCGAGCTCGGGGTGTTCCCGTGGGAGCCAAGGAGTTTGGCGTCGGGGGCGACCCCGGTGAGGCCGGGGGTGGGCGCGTGGTGTGCCCCGGCAAAGAGGGTGGGTCCGTTATGGGGATTGTGGGAGTGGTGGCCGGGGTACTGGAGGTGCTGGTAGACGTTGTACGCGGCGGTGGGGTCGTACTGGGAGGCGGGCGTGTGGTGGGACGCGTACGCGTCCCGGGGTGAGTTGGCACCCTGGCCCTGGTACTCCTGCTGTTGCTGGTTGGCCGTCGCCTGCTGGCTCGCCGCCGCCGCCGCCGTCTGGCCCGACTGGTTATTACCTTCGCGCGGCTTCACCTGGCCGGAGGCGTTGGTGCCGTTGTGCTGGTGGGGCGGCGAAGGCGCCCCGTGGTGGTGTCCCAGCATCACGGAGGGCTTGACGTCGCAGGACCCGCCGGCGGCCGCCCCCAGGGCGTCCTGGTGGTGCATGAAGGCGCCCATCACGGCGGCGTGCGCCACCGCCGCCTGGTACTCGCTGCTGCCGCCCCCGCCGCCGCCCCCGAGGCCCAGGCCGCCCCCCTGGGGGCCTCCGCCCGCCGCCCCGCTCGCCCCGCTGGCCCCGTTGTTCGCGTTGTTGGAGCTCGACGTCGTGCTCGTCGTGATGCTGTCCGGCGTCGCGTCCTTAGGCGGCGTCGGCGGGAACGAGAACAGGTGGTGGCCGCCCCCGGCCCCCGCGTGGCTCGAGAGGCTCCCTGACGTCGGGGGCAGCGACGAGCCCAGCGGGCTCTGCGGCTTCTCCTCCGTCCCCGAGGCCGACCCCGTCGACGCCGCCGTCGCCGGGAAGCCCCAGGGCTTCGACGCGTCCGCGGTCGTCCCCGACAGCCACGGGTGCAGCACCGAGCTGTGGAAGTGTGGCCTGCAGACCTGGCTCACCGGCCCGCTCGACACGCCGCTTCCGGACATCCGACCTGCGAATCGAAGTCGGAGATTAGTCCCGTCGCTCGTAATCCTCGGTGGAACCGTGATAAGACCCGCTCGAAAGTCGAAGAACCCCAGCAGAGAAAATGGCAAAATTGTGGAAAAATCGGAAAATCGAATTGGTCACACGTTGGTCCATGAACATGTTTTGCGTACAATACGTACAATTACGTACGTCCTCGTGCAATGCAGGAAATCCCCCTGTTAGAAATGAAATTATAAAATTCCGGCACTTTCTTGTACTAGGGGGCGAGGGAATGTCAGGTCCTAAAAATGAATCGATACACGCGTATTATAAACTTTGAAATATAAATTTATATTTCCTTTTCTCATCGACGGCGTTGGGGTAATGCCTTCCCCGTGAAAATACCGCCTCCCGGTAGGCGACCGGAAAGCATTCGTTTTACGGGGAATCGGGAACCTGTTTCGAGGTGTCTTTCTTAAGATTAAGAAAAGTCGCGATATCGGAGATGCGCAACAACCTTCCCGACTCCCTCGGAAGGGGCCGATTCGCGGAATGATGCCAGCGCGCGAGGGACCGGACTTTTATGCCGATCGTAAAAATGCCTAATTGCGGCACGTCTTAATTAAACGGGCCCCGCAGGACCGCGACCGTCCGGAGTCGCGCCATTATGCGAGTCTCTTTATACGCGCCTCTTCCTCGTCCCGTACCTCGGATTCCCGTGTACACGCGTATAAGCGAGGCGTGCTTACCAAAAGTTACGTCGGCGGGGAAAATTTCACGGCTCCGTTTATCGATCGCAAAAGTCACGGTTAATTAAACAATCCCCCGGGTAATTGAGCATTCCTCCAAGGTCCTCGAATTTTTCGCACCCCGGGCCTCGGAGTTCATAAATTAGGGCCTAATAAAAACATTTCGTTACCCCCCCTTTTTGCCGCCATTTGGCAAGGAATCGTCGTTAGGATTTTACCTCGCACCTTCGAGTACGTCTTCGCGTGGTGCAACCGAACACTCGGTACTTTTAATTACCGGCCGTGTCCGCGCACTTACCGGCCCGCAACACCACCGCGTGGTTGCGGTACGTAATTAGGTGTTCATTAGCGTTTTTAATTTCGTCACTGCCACGGCGTTGCGCAGTAGCCCCGATGCACCGGGGCCGCCATTTTGGTCCCGACCGAGGTCACCAAAACCGCGTACCGACTTCTACCGCCTATGGGAAATAAACACCGAGCTTTGAACATGCTATTACCCTCGAACACCTTTCCCGCGAGATGTAAAAACAATTTCCGAAAGTGCGACAAGAATTATCCTCGACCCCGATCCCTTTTCGCCCCGCCGAGCACCCCATGTCATAACTGCATATCCCTGAAATACCATAATACATAACAAAACTTATATAACCCAGCCATTACTACAAATCCATCAGCACTGCAGTTACATATCATTAACATAACCCATAATCTGGTACCGATACAACCTATCTTTCACTATTCGTTTCATAACGGGTTTATATAACTGCTTCGGGAACAGTAGGACAAACTTTACGTACATGTAACGCGTATGTTACGGTACATTACGAGGACGTGTGCACCGGTTATATGGTCGTTAGAAGGCAATGTTTGGTAGGGACGTCTCATGGGCGCAAAGTGATGCGGCAACAAATCGGCTCGCAAATCGCGGACAGCCTTCTCCGAACGAATCGGCAGCCAAGTCGGCCGGGTCTTTACGTAAAGCTCGATATTACCGGCATTACGCTAATTCCCCGTCGGAGTGTCGCGACAAATTATCGCCGTGGCACCCGGTTGTTACAGTCGGCTCGGTGCGTAATACCGATACGACATTCGCTCCCAAGTACCGGGCCAGAGTAATGGCGAGAGAGCATTGACGCGTGTACGCGCAGATTTTCCGCGCGTGCGCGCGCCCGGCATTACGGCGCGAAGTTGGCCGCCGGCGCGCCGATCGATATATCGAATGGCTTCTTGCCGAAGCGCGACGCCACCTTCGCGGCATACGCTGATAACGAGAGGGACTGTTTTGCCACGGGCCTCCCCCCGGCTGAATTATGGGCATTAATTTAAGCTTAAGCCCCGACCCCGCCCGGCTCGACTCGGCTGAACTCGGCTCGACTCGGCTCGACTCGGCTCGACTCGGCTCGACTCGGCTCGACTCGGCTCGACTCGGCTCGGCTCGAGTGTCTCCCCGCGGGAAAGCTCGCGCGAAAAACCGCCGCCAATTCATCCTCGACGACAGCGCCGCCTTCCGAACCCCGGCAGGCCCGCGAACTAGAGTTCTAAATCCAGTAAGTTACGTCAGAAACGAAGAGAAATTCCCGGTAACTTATCGGTAATTTCTCCAAAGCCTTTTTTATCGAGAAATTATGAGAATTTGAATTTTTCAACAGAGCGAACGAGAGGTTTCGATTAGCTATAGAGAAACATCGTAAAGGGGAAATTCCGTTGTACGTTCTCCGTAGCCAATCAAAACCTCCCATTCGCTTCGTCGCAGAATGAAATATCAGTTCGTTTGAAACAAATCGCATGGAATTTTCCGTGAAGTTGTACATACGTGAATATTTTTAGCTGGAGATAAATACGACCCTATAATCAATATTTTCTAATAGTAATTATTACTCTTTAGCTTGAACTTTGAAGTTGATTGAAAAAAAAAAGTTATTTAAACTAAGAAACCTAAAGTATAAATAACAAAATTAACGTTCTCTTAAATTCTCAATGTTCCCGGTAACGTACGGTATGTTTCACAGTTACCTTCTCCAATTTAATGTTACCGAGAATTTTCGAACTCTACCGCGAACAAAAGCGCGACCGGCTCCCTCCTATTTATCTTCCCGAGATTTTCTTCTATTTTTTTTTTCTTTTTAATTGCAGCGTCCCTTCAAAATAATAAAACGTCGAAACCAAGGACGATGGACCCGGGGAGTTTCTGCGATATTAGCGACGCCTTAATACGGATTATTGAGGTTAAAACGAATACACTCGATCGTTTCAAAAGCTTCCTCGTTTCCTGGCAATGATTATCTGTTTTCACTTTGATCGGTGCCGTAAGTGGCTAAATTTTCGGGGCTCTTGCGACGTCGATGGAAAGTTCACGTATAAAAAATTAATAAACCATCGGAACGCTTTTCGTTTTCTGACTCGAAAATATGTTTTTTTCCTAGTACCAGGGAAGAATTTGGACTAAGGTGAAATTGTAAGTTTTAAACGAGTGAGGTTCGAAGAAGCACCGAAAATAAATTCCGAAGTTTAGGCGTTGCCAAGCCTCGCTTTTATTTCGAACGAACGAATGCAAACGCCTCGAGGCGGAATTAAATAAATCCCGGAAAAGCGTCCATCCACGATCAGGCGGTCGAATTTCAGCCCGGTGGGAATTTACGACGTAGAATCCGTCGGCCATCGAAATCCGCAAAAATCGGAGCGAGGGGTGTGGCGGCGTCACAGGGGAGGCCGAGCGAATCGGTACTTAGCGCACTCGGGGCGGGGGGGGGGGGGGGGGGGGGGGGCGCAATAAAACCTTCCATACGGGGCGATATTTATCGGTTGGCACCCCGGGCGGCATTTTTCCGCGATTTCGCGAGGCCTTTTTATCCCATCAGCCGCCATGAAGCTTCTCCCTTGCATTCTCTATCGACCTAACGGTGAGCGATATTTTTATCCGCCCGGTGATTCCATTTTCCGACGCGGATCGCAACATCCAAGATGGCGGACCTTGCGCAGCACCTGGCGCGTCATAACCTTACTTCCTCAGACTAATCTAAGACTCTATATGACAGGTTTTAATTTCTCCTCTCGATAGTTCATCGATAAACATTCCTAGACTGTAAGCATTTGGAAGATCCCAATAAATGGAGGTGCACGATCAAGGTACAAGAACTAACCTACCCCAAGGATCGAGGATTGGTTTCATGCACCTCAAACGATGATCTGACCACGAAGATAGCAGAACCGGAAGTGAGGAAACAAAGAATCAATTTTTTTACTCAAAACAGTTGCGCGGTACAACATGGCGGCAGCCTTATCTACCAAGAAGAGAGCCAGAAAGAAGAGCCTCCTCCGAAAGTTCTCTTTCCTTTTCCCTGCCATCCCAGGGATATCAATGGAAAAACTGCATTTGCAGTCTCCACATATCCCACGTCCACGGACCGAAGAACGAAGCCGGGTGTCGGCGGCGAACACGCGCAGCGCGCAAAAAGTTGCGCAGGGCGCGCCGACGAAAAACAGGATCGCAGCCGTTAAGGCGCCGCTTTTCCGCCGCGGAAGGCAAAGTCGCTTACTTCGTCAATTTCTTCGCGGATCCTCGAGTGCGAAGCGCGACGCCCGACGTCGCCAGGGATATTAACTGGACCGACGCGGCCGCCATGTTGGCGCGCGTTCAAAAAACCCGCCGATGGCGGGACGGCGTCCATCATGGCGACGCGCGGGTGCGCGCGCACGATTATGCATGAAAAATGCAGATAGCCCCGGTTATATCACGTACGAGATCACGATGGCGGCAGATAAGGCATCTGCCTCTTTGGCCGTCCCCCGTTCCCTCTTTTTCTCGCCCGCACTGCCCGTGAAAACGAACCGTCGACTGCATCATGTGCATATCCTGCGTTTTGCGCGGCCCCCGCCATTTCTTTTTTCTTTTTTTTTTTTCCCACTCCGCGCCCTTCCCGGTACCGGACCCCGCGTCCCTTGGAAACGGGCGTTATGGTTTTACCTAAAAGGAATAAAATGAGGGGGGGAAAAAAAGACAAAGGACCGGACAAGAAAGGGGGCATGCAACTTCGGAGAAAACCCCTCGTGCCCCCCGTGTCCCGGCAGATCGGAAGCGCACGAAAGGGACGCAATTGCATCGTAGCGTGCGCCGAGCCGGCGCAATTGACCGTTAAACGGGGCAATAACTATCACCGGATAATCGGTAATTTCGTATTGCCGATGGGATTACCGGCGGTGTTCAAGTTGCCCGGCGATGTCCCCGACAATTTGGAGATTCCTCAGGTATCCCGACGGACAATTTCCAAATCTACTG